AAAAAAAAAGGTGCCAAGAAAAATTCATATTTTACCTTTAAAGACGGAGACATATTCACTGGACTGGAGGAGCGTCCCATTACTAATATTAATGCCCCTATTTATCGATCACCTTGATAGATCGCCTCCTCTGTCTGCACGCACACACAACACACACACTCACACACACAGGCTCACACACACAGATAAATGTACACTCTAGTCAGCCACAGAGCGGATGAGAGTGTGTTTGAGGGCTCCAAAGACAGAGGTGATTAATGGCGGTGGCCTGATGTGAACAGTTCAACCGTGTGTGTGTGTGTGTCGGTGTACCTGCCTCAGCACCTGGGTCCTCCCGGTGCCGCAGGCCGCCGGTGTGATGAACCACAGACGGTGATGCGTCTAGACAGACAGTCAGAGGAGCTCCCAGGCTGGAGCAGAGCTGACCACCTCAGAGGGAGGAGAGCAGAATGGGCTTCATAAAAGATAGTGTGGAAGATTAGAATAGACCGAATGAGTCGAAGGAATGCAAGGAGCTCAGATCAGAACAGACTTGTGAGGAGAAGATCAGGAAAGTTTGATCGTTCTAGTGATGAAAAGAGCATCAGAAAGACGTAAGAACCAAAACGGTGGTCAGAACAGACAGAAACCGAACAAGAACCCCAACAAAAGTGAAGCAGTAATAGAGCAGGAGAACACAGAGAGACCAAACAGAGCAAAATAAAACAACAAAAAACCCAAACAGAACAAACAACAGGACCAGCAGAGCAGATCAGAAACAGCAGCAGCAGCAGCAGAGAACAGAGCAGAAAGGAGGCAGCCTGAGAACAGAGCAGAGCAGCAGATCAGTGTCTCCAGCTGAGCCGGTGTAAGCCTGTAAATGTGATCAGAGTGAATCTGTCCCCCTACATGCAGCAGCTGCAGCCTAATGTGTGTTTAGCCTGTTTGGACTCTTCCAGGTTTTCCACTGCTGACAGCTCAGACCGTCTCTCTGAGCAGCCTGATTTACTGCTCAGTCCAGTGGTGTGCCTGGCTTCCTAACACAGGCCAACTACATCTCTGTGTGGTTGACCGCGCATCTGTGGGCCCCTGTAATTACCGTTCGGCCCTGCTTGTGTACATACGTGTGTGTGTGTGTGTGTGTTGTAGCGTGTTGCCGCTGTGCCGCCACAGCGCCGGTCTGGCCACAGGCGAAGGAGCCTGTTTCTCAGAGTCGATTCTTGAACAGCACTTTTGCTCGAGCTGAACATTTTTTTATTTTTTTTGCAGCCTGATCATGCAAGCAAAGGCAAGCAAAGCGATTCTTGCACTGCAAGCACCTGTCCCGTCTCTCTGCTCTCCCTTTCACACATACAGAAGACTTTCTTTTTCTCCCATTTCTTCTCCCCCTTCCTCCTCCTCCTCCTCCTCCTCCTCCTCCCGTCACAAGAATAGAGCAGAGGCGCAGATGTAAAGAGACAGGCCAAAAGACAGAGAGATGGAGGCACAGGGAGACGAAGAATGGAAGAGACAGCGGGGTTCAGGCCTAATCTGTTGACAAGAGGGGATGTTTGAGGATAAACAGAGGCTGAGCAGGAGTGCTCAGGAAGCACAGAGAGAAAGAGAAAGAGCCCCACTGGCTTCGGTCTCTGCTCCAACAGCAACCCCAGCTGGACCATCAATGTTTGATGGTTTACATCAGCAAAGATTTACACCCAAATTGGGCTCCGGGGGCACCCAGAGAGCCACAAAAAGGTCTCTCAAGATGTATTCAAAAAGACAGAGTCAAAGGCAGCGAGACTTGCTTCAGACTCTTGAAAATTGTGCGACTCCACTCCCATTTTCAGGACTTTAAGATTAATCACGACCCCGAGTCTTTCCAGACCCTCAAATTGTTGATCCCACTTGCTGTGACCTCGTACAATAATAGACCGTATGAGATAAATCATTAGTTTCAAGCGCTCCTCTGTTACGCCCTCAAACAGTTGTGCAATTCCTGAATCTGAATCATCAAACATTAAAAATACGCTCAGATGGGGGGGTTTGTAAGTAAAGTTTCGGCATTTATAGCATGTAAAGCTTTTGGAAGAATGCGTTAAACGACACCAACATGCTGCGGAGTCAAGAGAACGTTTCTGTGTGATGAAGCAAGATTTCATTAAATCTTATCTCCACTTCTTCATAAAGGGAGTATTTGGTTACATCAGTGTCTTTAATGTACACTGGAAGATAAGAGGAATTATATAACTTCTGCTTTTCCTGATCTGAAGCAGGATATAGTCACATCTTCACGACTCAGTTAATCTACATGTTGGGCCTGAGGTGAAAATATGACGTGGGCCGTGTTGACACCGTCTCCTTCTGCCACCACGTCTCTGTGCGTCGTGTATGTATGTGGTGGTGGTTAAGAGATTCAAGATTCAAGATTCAAGAGTTTTATTGTCATATGCACAGCAAAACAGGTAGTTGTACTACACAATGAAATTCTTACTCTGTTCAATCCCCCGAACAGACTAATTAAACGGATATAGGAGCATAATTGTCAGTGCACTTCTTTGAATTCAAACTGACATTGAAAAAAAATGTAAAAAATGTAGCCTCGTCTCTCATTTCATTGTAATTCGTCCGGCCCACTTTCAGGCTAATCTGCAAAAGAGTTGAAGGTGCTGAACTTTTGCTGCAACTTAATTCGATGTCACCCAGTGGAGCTGAAATATGTGCAATTAAAATGATAGGAGCTACAACTAAGTACATCATGAATGTCTGTGTAGTGTCTTGGAGCCTCCAAAGTCACGGATCAGTGACTAAAACTGGATCCCTGGATCATGTTTCATTGCCTCACCTTTCACCTGAAGCAACTTGCCCCTTAGCGTTGCACCCGCTGTACATTTTTTTAACCTGAGGCTGTGCAAACGGCAAAAAAGTGCCTCAAACGTGCAAATACAGTCCCGCTAAAAATCTACATTTATTCATGGCTTCTGCTGGGACTCCAACCCCTTAAAAAGCCTCCATCTTCCCCCTGTTCCACCACCTTCATCTCAACTTTGTTGCTTCTTAGACTGTCTCACCTGCTCTGCGTGAAAAAGGCCTGTGATTGGCTGAACTCTCAACGTCTCGGGATAAATTTTGCAAATCCTGAAAACTGAGCCAAGAGGAGATGCAGAAGTCTAGTTTCCTTTCAAATCACTGGAATTACCATATTCTGAAAGGTTAGTGTGTGGAGCCTTTGCACAATCATGCAAAAAGTAATAGTAATTATATACACTTTACGCTGAGGGCTTCAAGGGTCTGTGGCCTCAGAGCGGTTGCCTGCTGTGAAACGCGTAAAGAAACAGCATGTGTCAGTAGTCAAGCAATGGAATAAGTTCTTGTGCTGAGACTCTAGAGTGAAAATCACACATTTTAAAGTCCCGTTCCGTGTGCATTAAACAAACAAACTCATCTCTGTGCTGTCAGAGTTACATATTTAGAAGTTTTCCCCTTCCTGTCTTAAAATAATTGTAACGCTACACTGTTGTTTCCTCTTGAGTGATCCATGAAGTCCCTGCCTCCCTCTCCACTCATTCTGCCTCCATCCACTGCAGCCTGAGCACACCAGCTCACCTATGACTCAGCCAAACATATTGGAAACCAATTATGAAGAAGACAAATGATGCAGAATGTCAGATCCTGCAAGATGATAGAACTGGTTCCTTAGATTTGTTGCAATTGAAGCTCTGGAGGTCTGAATTCATGTTTTTCAGTTGTGGTGTTCGACTGCATGTTCTGTTCATGATATATCGTCAAGCATGCAACAAAAACTCCATATGATCAGGCTTACAAGGTATTAAAAACAACAACCTTTAACTACCTTTAACAGATATTAGACACATGCAGGAAGTTTGTTAATTTAGAAGATTTGTACTACCACTTTTATTCAATATGCAAAGCTCGTGCACATGTTCTCCTCTTTGGTAAATTTCATCATCTGCAGCACCGCTGATGAGCATTTCTTGCATGAGCAGCCTCAGGATGAATCAAGCCACCAACCTTGGCCATTAGTGCCATACTGTACTAATCGTGCCATAAAA